GCTGCTGGCAGGCGCATCCTCCATCCCGCTGGGGTCGGCGGCCCAGCGGAGCCCGGGTCGAGGGTGCGGCCTCGGCAGGGAAGAGGTAGTCTTCTACCGGCCCGGCTAATGGGGCTGGGAGCAGGTTCTCCAAATGACAGTGTCCCTGCAGCGGCCGCGATGACTGGGGGCCAAAGGGTGGCTTGCCCCGGGAACCTTCTGCCTAGTGGCTCCGCAGGGACTCGAGTTCTGACTGCCTTCCCTCGGCCTCGCCTTAGCTTCCGCCTGCCCCCCTTCCTCTGAAGATTTTTCCTGATCCATGCATTCTTCGGATTACAGCACTTGGAACCCTTTGACCCAAGGCGTTGGCGTTAGGCCTTGAAGTAACTGTCAAAAGATTTAGTTTGCCAAATCTGGGCGGCTGTATCTTCCATTCTCCTGTATGATAGGCTCCGAACATAAAAATAAAGTGGGGAATTAGATGGCAAGAATCTTCTGGATCTTTCCCAGCAGGTTTTTAATTATGCTCGAGTTTCATCAGAAGCAACAACGGAAAAACCTTGATTTATCTCTGATCTCCTGTTCACTTTGGAACCCACTTCCATCTAGTAGATCTTGTGGAGATTAATGAAATCAATGGACTCTTTCAGAGTCCTTTCTGAAGTCGCCTTTTCTGATCTTCCAGCTCCATTCCTGGTTATTGACCCTCTCCTTTCTGAAGCATTCTCTCCCCTTATGCTATCCCCTTGGATCTGGGATACAGAACTCTTGGTTTTCCTCCTCCACCTCTTGGTGGCCCATCTGTTTGTTATATGTAAGATTCTCCTTTTCCTGGACAGTACACGTAGGAGTCCTAGGCTCTGTCCTAATCCTTCATTTTCCACTCTGTGTTCTCTCTCTTACATCGTGGCTTCAGTTACCACATATTTTCAGATGACTTGTGAATTTATATCCTGCCTGTGAGATCCAGTCCAGATTTTATACCACACTCCTTAGTTGACATCCCTGGGAAGCTTTTCACAACTTGGATGCCTCAAAGCCACCTCATTTTGTCCAAAAAGAAGTCATGCTGTTTCCCCTCAAACCTGATCTTTATGCACTGTTGTGTAATTCAGTGAAAGGTTGTGCCTTTCAGTCTGTCATACAAGCCAGAAGCCTAGGAAACATATTTGTAACACCTCTTTTTCTGTATCCCCTCTACTTCTCTATTGCCACTCTGCCGCTAGCTCCTTTGTAGTGGTTAAGAGGATGCGGGCTCCACCAGTTTTATAATTTTGGAGGAGATACTTGACCTGTCTACTCTTTATTTTATTTTATTTATTTTTGCAGCATGGGAATGATAATAGTACTCATGGGCTTTTGTGAGTATGAAGAGAAATCTGTAAGGGACAAAGCAGTGTTTTGTGATGTTTAATATGCATTAACTTATTAGCATTATTTGCTTTTCTTTATTCTCTCATCATCACCTTCTCTAAGCTACTTTTCATCTCTCTGGACTGTCTGCCTGCTAACTACTCTCACTGTATTCATCTTGGCTCTCTGCCTGTTTCCTATACACCACAGCACATATGATTGTTTCTAAATGCAAATAAATATCATGTATTCCTTCCCTATCCTACTTAAAAAAGAAGAAAAAAAAAAAAAACCTTATTGGCTTCTCTTTGCCCATTGGAGAGAAAGCAAAATTCTTAATACGGACGATGACTTCTTCTGGACCATGCTCCTGCTCATGGTCTGTGCGTGAGTCTCACTGGCCTTTCATATCTTGGTCATGTTGTACCCATTTGAACAGGAGGTCTTGGCATGGGCAGTTTTAGTCCCTCAGGTGCCATTTTTGAGGAAGACTCCTGTGACAGTGCTGTACTTCTTCAGTCATAAGTCCTTATAGCATCATGCATCTCCTTTCTAGCCCTATCATGGGTACCAGTTGACATATTTTTGCCTGATTCTTTTGATGTGAGTCCCTGAGTGCAGGGACCATATCTTTTATATGATTGTATCCCTAGCTCTCAGTATTGCTGGAGCATTCATTACATATTCATTGGATAAACCAATAAATAAACACTTTCCACTTTACCTTGTGTGTTAACATTTACTACACAGTTGCTTTTTTTTTTTTTTTTTTTTTGT